GCTGATTTTACTGAAAAGGTTGTTGAAAGCCAGGTGGAGGTTCGTATTATTTCTCTACTAAAATTTTTGTTCGGTATTGGTTGGAATTTTTCTAGAAGCCTACCCAAGCTTGGTTGTTGCACGGTTGATCAAATTGTATTTGATGTGCTTGATAACCTCCCATGACATGTTCAAGTTTGGTATCTTCTTGTAATATTGGGCACATGTATGTTGGGTGTCCAACCTTCACACATACCCTACAAGTTCTGATCTTCGGTTCAACACCTTTTTCTTTTGTAAGTAAAAGAACAACCTTTGTCAAATCTGAAATTTGGGACTCAAGGTGGGCATTATTGAAATCATTCACTCTTCATCGCTGATCTAGATACCATTCTTCTTCATTTGCTGAGTTTTTTGATTGGATTGCCAACTTCTCTGTTAATACTTTGATCTTGATTGGCATCATATCTACAAGCGAACCACCACTCAAAACGTTGATCATTCGCTTTTCCATTGGAGTCAGGCCTTCACAGAAACATTGATATAACTGATAGTCATTGATCCCATGTTGTAGGAAGCGGACCAACAACTTCTTGAAATGTTCCTAATAAGTATGAAGGGCTTCTCTTTTTCCTTGCTTTATGGCAAGGATTTCTCTACGGAGGTTGGATACTTTTGCTTCTAGAAAATATTTTTCCAGAAAGATCTTAGTTAACTCGTTCCATGTAGTGATTGATCCAGAAGGGAGATCATACAACCACTCTTTGTTGCGTCTTGGATAAAAAAGGGAATACCCTTAACTTGATTTGGTCTTCGGTTATATCATGTGGCTTCATACCAAAACATACTATGTAAAACTCCTTGAGAAACTTAAGCAAATCTTCATTCTCAAGGACTTAGAAAGTAGGAAGAAGATGAATCAAGCCAGAGTTTAACTCAAAATTCTGAGCTTCTGTAAAATTGATACACAAAGGCTATTATTTAACATCTTGTGTCACCCACTCTTGAAGAGTCTTTTCAGGATCATCTCCATGTTCGCTCATAGTTGAATCTGTTGCAGGATCTGAATCAGCAGGTTCAGGTGTTTTGGATTTAATGGAAGATGTAGGTGGTCAATTTTTAAATGAACTGTGGGAAGGTGAGGATGGGGGTGCTTAGGGAAAATATGAGAAGGTTGTTTCATGCTCATTCCACATGGGAGTGCCTTGTGGATTTGTTTGTTGTGAAGCTGGAGAAGATGTTGATGCGAAAAAACCCTTTAACTTTTTCTGCCGAAGTGCTTCTTTTCTGAGTTTTCTTGTTGTCTTCTCTATCTCCGGATCAAACTATAGTGGAGTACCTATACGTGTAGATCTTGGCATAAAATGATTAGTGTTTGTCATTGTTGGATTAGGTGTCTAAGCCTATAACTATAATTGGGATGTACTTGACCCGACACTAGCATGGTCCTTTTGGGTTGCCTTCACCATAGTAATTTGATAGGATGTATTATGGAGAAAGAGGTTAATTGTGATTTATTAATATATTATAAGAATAATATATTAATTGAGAAATCATATTATTTAAGTAGTATTGATCGGAAATTAATTTGGAATTAATTTGGTGATCAAAAGAGACTGATTAAATTACAGGGACTGATATTGCAATTATATGATAGTTGAAAGTTGGGCTTATGGATCCCTTAGGAAGGGGTGGACGAAATTCTATGTGTAGCCCACATAGAATTCATCCAAAGGTGGATTTTGGGAGGATCTACTAGGTTGCTTAAGACCTAAGCAGAGAATTAGAGTTCCAATCAGAGACTCAAACTGCTCAGCTATATAAGGAACCCCTAGGGTGCCTAAAATCGGCTACTGCATCCTAAGAGGAAATCCTAGCCGATTTTTAGAGCCTTCCCACCTCTCTCATATTCTTCCAATTGCTACTTGGTGTTTGTGACTCACTAGAGGTGCAACAATTGAGGTGCTAAGCTCTTGAAGGTCAAGATCTACAAGCTATAAGGAAAAGGTATTTATCTAACATTGTTTTATGGTAAAAATCTCACAAAATTGTATGCTAGTTAGGGTTCATGCTTTGAATGATTAGAATTGCATGTATAACTTGAGAAAAACCTAGATCCAAAGCATTACGGTTGCATGTACATCATAGGAATGTTGTAGTGCTCAAAATCCATCAGTCGTGTCCCTAGTAACAACGCCAATTTGTTAACAGCATGTCGCAAAGCCTAACAAACAAATAGTATAAATAAAAATACTACTCTAATGAACTAAGCGGTAATATAGGAAAGTAGGGTCGGATTCATAGGGACACATCCTAAGGTCTATTCCTCTCTTGCGTAAGACACTCTCTAAATTAACAGAAATTAAAATTTCGGGGGGGGGGGGGAGGGGATTTGTTGACTAGTTAAAACTAATTTTAACAGAAATTTATAAAAGAAAAACTCAATTTAAACACTAGAATACAATTCAGAAGGTAAAAATAATTTCAGTTTCGCGATGACTCTTCTAATCATACAAATAACCTTCAACACGATACTTGAACTGTGTACTGTTTAAATTGGTACTGAAAATCATTAATAAGTTCTAAAAAATTTCTTTTATTAAAATTTTTAACCAAAACAAGCTCTTTGAATTAAACTTTACTTTTACTGAATTAACCAAATAAGCTCTTAGTTAATTTAGAAAAGTAACATTAAGCACATTGAAAAATTCCTAGCAAAGTCCAATACTTCTCACAAGTTCGGAAGCATAAAGACTTGTTTGATAAGTTTATATTAGAATTAACCCTAGCACATAATTAATCTAATATTTTTTTACTTTTACTAATAAATAAAGATAATTACGAATCTAAACGAATCGGATAACTTGAATGATTTATTAACAATTAAAGTGGCCAACAAAAATAGAATCAAAATCAAACGTTCAATTAAGCATAAAACTGATCAAGCTAAACAGTGAACATAGTAAAAAATTGTGCCTAATGATTACTTGCACAAAAAGTTAAATTGTTTACGAATCTGAGGTCTAGAACATTTCATTAAGATCTCACAAAAGGAAAGAAATTTCTTGGTACAGACCACAAATGTGGTATTCATTAATTCATTGGTGAAAAATCTAGAATGTTTAATTGTTCACCGTCAATTCATTAAAGTCTGTTGGATTTTGGGTTTCACTCAGTTCGTGGTGGAACGAAGCTAAGATCATTAACACATATGTTGTGCAACCATAAACCTCAGTGGTAATTGCTGAGAGTCTCAAGGGTTACAATGATGAATGGGAAGGTGATGAAGTAATTTGAAGGTGGTTCCAGAGAAACGAATGTACATCTGCTATGCGAAAGTGACCAAGCGGATAACTCTTAACTTAGTTTGAGAATAGTAATGCAACTCATGACTTATGTGAATTTAACAGCTTGGTTGGGAAGAAACGATTGGCAGAATCGATTCATTAAGGCTTCAACATAGAGTCGTCGAGGCTTCAGACTACATGCAACAACATGCTTGTCGGGATGCTTAGCTGGTACATAGGTAAAGAGATTGATACCTGCCCCATTACACCAACAGAGAGAGATTACAAACGTGTTTCTCCATGAGATTCTCAGTTGTCTGGTATTTTTGATATTTGTGAAAAACAAAAGAAATAAATAAAAAAAAAACAAATAAAATATTTTTGAATTTTGATTTTCTGAAAAATAGAAATAAATAAACTAATTTTGAAATTTTGGAATTTTCTGAAAAGAATGAAAAATAGAAGAGATTCAAAAACAAAACAATGATAAACAACATTATACATATTGTACAAAAGGATACTTGAGAAACCGAACCACTAATGAATAGTTGACTGCGAATGAAAAGATGACTATGAATTATTGCGAGCGTTTGCACCAATTCATAGTGTTGAAGTAGACTGGAAATGAACAGTACACTACAAACTACAGCGAGCGTTCACACCAATTCGCAGTGTTAACTTTATTAATGCGAAAGTGGTTTCAAAACAGATTCAACTTCCATCATTTCTAGGCCTTGAAGAATTCTATTGAAGGTGGATTCATGTAAGGCCTTTGTGAATACATCAGCTAACTGATCAGGGGGTGTTACGAAGTGAATTTCATCATTTCCATCTTCCACATGATCTTTGATGAAGTGATACCTCAGTGCTATGTGTTTCTTCTTAGAGTGTTGCACTGGTTTATGACAAATATGAATGGCACTTTTGGAGTCATAGTATAATGAGATTCGTTTCATGCTTATGCCATAGTCACAAAGTTGGCTTTGAATCCAAATGACTTAGGATGTGCATGAGGCAGCTGCAATGTATTCAGCCTTAGCTGTTGACAAGTAAATGCAGGTTTGCTTATTGGATTGCCAACTTAAAAGTTTACCATAAAGGAATTAGCATCCCTCAGTTGTACTTTTTCTATCTAACCCGCATCCTCCATAATCAGCATCCGAAAAAGCTTGTACAAAGACCCCAGAATTCGAAGGGTACCATATTCCAAGTGAGGAATTTCGTTTTAGATACCTAAAAATGTTCTTGACTGTCGTCATGTGAGGTTCTCGAGGATTAGCTTGAAACCTAGCACAATAGCAAACAAAAAACATAATCTTTTGATGACTCGTAGTTAGATACATCAAGGAACCTATTATTTGACGATAAAGTGTCATATCTGTAGCCGGTTTATCCAAAGAAGGAGTTAGTTTCATTCCGAATGTCATTGGAACTTTCACTTTTGAGTCTCCCACCATCCCAAACTTTGCAAGTAGATTCTTCGTGTAATCCTCCTAGTTAATAAAGATACCTTCCTGACTCTGTCTAATGTTCAGTCCAAGGAAAAAGTTAATTGGACCCATGGAGCTCATCTCAAATTTAGTTTCCATCAACTTTCAGAATTCAACTGTAAGGCTGGGATTAGTAGATCCAGAGATGATGTCATCAACATAAATTTGGACAATCATCAAGTGTTCACCCACTTTCTTACGAATGAATGTTGGGTCAACTTGTCACATCCCCGGCCGAGGTGGCGGAACATGCCGGGCTGTGCAACTAAGTTCATGGATCACAGATAAATTGAATATACAGCACAAGTACAACAATAAACAAAACAACATTTCATTACATATTTATGTTTTCATACATGGTTCTTACAGATAGTAATAAAATAATAATACAAGTTTGCCTTAACATTTAGGCATAACAGTTCAAAAGTTGAAAATTAAAGTACTTGCGTGCCATGTTTTCCATCGTCTGAGTGTGCCCGACATTTCACTGATTTTCTGAGAATACATGTATTTTGAAAGTCAACACGAAGTTGGTGAGAGTCACAGGTTTTCTGCTAGCCGCAATAATAATACTTTCAAAAGTCCAAAAGTATATTTTTCTTGTATAACGATAGTTGAAACAATGCTTGTCATGAGTCTTTAAAAGCCAAAAAGTAATTTTATAAATAAATTATGCTTTTAAGGAAAACGTGTTTGTAATAACTTCATGAAAGTTTAAATATATCCATTGTATAAGTAACCACTATACTTAAAAACAGTTCTAAAAGCAACCAAACCTATGGTTGTAGTGAAAAAGTGAGAGAGATTCGTGTTAATGTTTGTAGTGAGTTCTATAATCGAGCTATAGATGAAAAGTACCCCTCCCTACGACGCTTCATTAGACGTCGTAGTAACGATCGTAGACACATATCACCTGCTTCGATTGATCAATCGATGGTTGTAGCTAGCAATTGCAGGTGGGGTTGTCAACCCTATATAGATCTATATATATGTACCTCGCTCCGAATATTAACGATTATAGCAGTATGGGGCAGGATAAGTGATTAAACTCAGCTAATGAATAGTAGCGTCTCACTAAAAAACCATTAACGACAAGTTTGTGAATAACTCTCAGCCCTAACTTAGTTATAGATAAGTACCGGGCATAATGAATTTCGTATTATAGTATTTGTAAAAGTCGAGTATGGTTGACGTATTTATAAAAGTATAAATTACTCGCTTTTATAGAGATATGTCTTTTAACATAATGGTATTGTACAAGTGTGTAATGCCTAGTATTTAGATATGGAAGTCTTTATAACTTTTAAAATTGTAGCATGTATATCATATAAGGCATATGTATTTGCAAAATAAATACTATTTAGCACATGTATTCTCCCGCAAGAATAAATAAAATATTGAAAAGGGTCTGTAACTCTCACCTTATCGAGTGGTTAACGAGTAGTTCTGAAAGTCGAGATGTGTTGCCGAGAGGTCGTGATTTCCGGGATAAATCCAATTTCCTAGAAATATTTGTTATAAATCAATATTTGGTATTTGAGCTAGTATAATGATTTATAATTTTTCTAAATGTTTATTATCTCAAAATTTATTTAAATAATCCATTTAAATAAATTTTTCTAAAAATTTAGTTTATTATTTTCCCAAAATATTTAAATCCCAAAAATTTATTTAAATCAAAATACAATTTTTATAATTCAAGATTTAACAACAATCAAATATAAAATGTATATATATGTGAAAAAAATGAATTTATGAAATTTCTATTTTAATATTTTGAACTTCTATTGAAAGGATTTTTCGAAATTTGGGTAGATTGTGAATATTTCAAACGTATGTTTAGGACTTAGGACCTAGTTTAAAAACAGTTTTTGGGAGTAAGGGGTTGAATATGGACAATATCATACTTGGGGGACTGCATGTGGCAAAACCGCATGCATGTTTGTGTATCTGATTCATAAACAGGAGGGAAACCACCTGTTCGTCTTCTTCGTTTTGGTGATACACCGAAGGCACACGAAGAATATATACAGTGGTCCTTGATTTGTTTAGCTTAATGAGAAAAAAAGAGAAATAAAAGGGAGGGTGGCGATGACTCACAGAGGTGGAGCAGCAGTAAAAACCGGCGGTGCTGGTGGTGGCTGTGAGCTGCGACGAGGGGTTGACGGAGGTGGTAGTTCGGTGCTGCTGCCTTCGTTCTTCTTTGTTTTACCAGTATTTCGATGCAGGAATTGTGGAGAAGCTTTAGGGGATCAAAATTAATAGCAATGAAAGCTTAGGGATGAAGTTCTTGGGTGGTGGAAGTGGGTGTTTGAAGGTTGCAATGGGTAGTGGGTGATTGCCGGCAGGAGGGTGTTTCGGTGGTGGCGAGAGGCTACTCCGGTGGCCTTCTGATGCTTCTTTCTTGCTTATTTCAATAGGGAAGACCAAAAAGGAGGAGGGAGGGGCTGTGGTGATTGAAAACAACAACAGGAATGGGTTGGGGAGGTGATCCATGGTGGTGATGTTGTAACTGTGAGAGAGGGAATTGAGAGAGAAGAAGAAGCTGATGAATTTGAGTGAGTTTATGAGAAGTAGTGGCCTCTATTTATAGTATAAGTCCATAGACACATGCTTATCTATGGCCATACTTCCAATCCCATGTTTGTACCTTTGGTGAACCTTGCACACAAAGGAGGAGAGTGTAGGAAGGAAAGGCACGTGGGTTTGATACCAGCTGGAAGAAGATAAGGTTTTTGGAGCTTATCATCCCATGTGGGCCCCACATGGGGTTATGCTCCATTACATGCCCAAAAACACCAAAACCGGGTGCCTCGGGATTCGTGTATTGTGGAGATTTTTTTAAAAACACCGTTAAATAAAGTATAATTCAAGGATTCCAGAACCTCAAACGGATTAATTTTTGGAGTTACGGATCTCCGGGAATTTACGTTTGAAGTTTTTCGTCTTAACGGCTCGCAGTGTCCGTTTTCGCGACTTTTGTAAATATTTTCGTAAAAATTATTTCAAGTGTGAATTTAAATAATATACTATATCCTGATTCCAAAAACGCTCTCGGAAATCTCGTCGCAAAGCGTAAGTGCCTCAACGGATCGTTTTGGTTTACGCGATTAAAGAAAACAGTGTTTTACCGTCCGTTTTTCTTATAACGGCTGTATCCTATGCACACGGACTCTGTTTTTGACGATCTTTATATTTTCGGAAACACGGGAACATGTACTATCATATTTTAATGTTTGGTTTGCTAAAAAATGATTAATGCTAAATTCCAGTTTTTCAGACGCATTAGTCAGCGCTGCAGTTGAGCGATTTGATTTGGTTAGTAGTTTACACGTTTGGACATAAAAATATCAATAGATATTACATAATAATTAACTCATTTATATTTCATTAGATGCAGTTAAATCTGAATGAGTTAATTATAAATAGATTTGCCGTAATTTAGTTGTTTGAAATCTATGCCCTAAATTCCAGGATGTCACATTACCTCTCCGTTAAGGGAATTTCGTCCCAAAATTATTACATTCTCGACTACTTTACACTAGTAGTTAGTTCTGTCACTAGTGGAGGGGGCATCGTCGAATAAGTGTGGGTACTTTTGCTTCAGTTGGTCCTCGCGTTCCCAAGTAAACTCCGGCCCTCTACGAGAGTCCCACCAGACTTTTACTATAGGTATGCGGTTTTGTTTGAGACTTTTAATTTCTCGATCCATAATCTCCACTGGTTCCTCCATGAAGTGAAGCTTTGTGTTGACCTGGATTTCATCGAGTGGTACGACCAAATTTTCATTGGCTAGGCACTTTTTGAGATTACACACGTGGAAGGTATCGTGAACCTTGTTGAGCTCTTGAGGTAGCTTGAGCTTATAAGCTACTGGACCAACTCTTGCTAGGATCTCAAAGGGTCCAATGTAACGTGGGTTTAGCTTTCCTCTTTTTCCGAATCTAATGACACCCTTCCATGGGGAAACTTTTAGTAGGACTCGGTCTCCTACTTTGAATTCCAATGGTTTGCGTCTGTTGTCAGTATAACTCTTCTGCCGACTACGTGCGACTTTTAGCCGTTCTTTTATCTGAACAATCTTTGCTGTTGTCTCCTGAATGATTTCAGGTCCAGTGAATAGTGTATCTCCAATATGTTTTCCTGCTAGTTGGGTATCTCCAACCACTGCCCAACATAATGGTGAACGACATTTGCGCCCATACAAGGCCTCGAATGGAGCGGCCTTCATACTAGTGTGATAGCCGTTGTTGTAAGAGAACTCAACTAATGGCAAGTGAGTATCCCATGCGTTACCAAAGTCTATCACACAAGCACGGAGCATATCTTTCAGAGTTTGTATTGTCCTTTCGCTCTGGCCATCCGTTTGAGGATGATATGCTGTATTCATGTCGAGTTTTGTGCCTAGGGACCTTGGCAGTGATTTCCAAAATCTAGAAGTGAATCTACTATCTCGGTCCAAGATGATAGATATTGGCACACCGTGTAGTCTGACTATCTCCTTGAGATATGTTCTGGTGATTTTTTCCATCTTATCAGTTTCCTTCATGGCTAAGAAGTGAGCGGACTTGGTCAAACGGTCAACCACTACCCATATGGTATCGTAACCGCTTGATGTATTGGGTTACTTTGTTATAAAGTCCATTGTTATTTTCTCCCACTTCCATTCTGGAATTGATGGTTGTTGTAGCAGGCCAGACGGCTTCTGGTACTTTGCCTTGACCTTGGAACAGGTCAAACACTTACCGACATAGGTGGTAATTTCTGCCTTCATATTGGGCCACCAATAATGCTTCTTGAGATCGAGATACATATTGTCTGATCCGGGATGTATTGAGTATCTTGACTTGTGAGCTTCATTTAAAACCAAATCTCTGACTTCTCTAAATCTTGGAGTCCAAATTCGGTTCATGAAGTATCGCGTTCCATCATCTCTGAGGTCAAACTATTTGTCCATGCCTCGTAGGTTTTCTTCCATGATGTTTTCAGGTTTAAGTGCTCCTAGCTGAGCATCACGAATTTGAATAGTGAGGTTCGAGTGGATGGCTAGGGTTAGAGCCTTTACACGAAGAGGTTTTACTCGTTCCTTCCTGCTTAATGCATCTGCCACAACGTTTGCTTTACTGGGATGATAACGAATTTCGCATTCATAATCATTTAGTAATTCGACCCATCTCCGTTGTCTCATGTTGAGATCTTTTTGATAAAAAATGTGTTGAAGGATCTTGTGGTTTGTGAATACAATGCACTTTGTCCCGTATAGATAGTGTCTCCAAATCTTCAGAGAAAATACTATGACTCCCAACTCTAAGTCATGGGTAGTGTAGTTCGTCTCGTTTGGCTTCAGTTGTCAGGATGCATATGTAATAACCTTATTCCTCTGCCTCAGTACACACCCTAACCCTTGACGTGAGGCATCACAGTATACTACAAAGTCTTTTGTTCCCTCAAGAAGAGATAAAATCGGTGCACTGCATAATAATTGCTTCAATTTTTGGAAGGCAGATTATTGACTGTCTCCCCAGTCGAACTTTTTGTCTTTCTGGGTTAGTGCGGTGAGAGGCTTGGCTATTTTGGAGAAGTTCTCGATAAATCTACAATAATATCCTGCAAGCCCTAAGAACTGACGTACTTCGGTTGGTGTTGTTGGTGCTTTCCAATTCTTGACAGCTTCAATCTTCGCAGGATCGACATGAATCCCTTTACTGCTGACCACATGACCGAGGAAATGAACTTCGTTGATCCAGAACTCACACTTAGAAAACTTTGCATAAAGTTTTTCTTTTATTAGCAGTTCTAGGATTAAACGCAAGTGCTGGCCATGTTCTTCCTTGGTTCGTGAGTATATTAATATGTCATCGATGAAGACAATCACGAATTTGTAACAACGTAAATTTTAAAACAAAATTTTCATTTTTGTAAATATCAAAAACCATCGATTAATATTCCAAATTCAAACGTGAACAATGTTATCATAACAAAATACATCCCAATGATCATAAAATAGTTTTTCTCCGACAATGTGTACGATCACGCCGGCTCCTTCCCACGGTCCTCGTTGGTACCTGAAACACATAACACAGCAACTGTAAGCATAAATGCTTAGTGAGTTCCCCAAAATACAACTTACTCACATACGCCTTTCCAGGCCCTAACCTTCCGGTCCATGTGTCTCAGGGGACTTCCGTCCCGACTAGGTAGACCTTCCGGTCCTACCCATGTCAACCTTACGGTCCACATCACGAAGCCTTCCGGCCCATAACATATTCGCCTTCCGGCCCATAACATAATGCCTTCCGGCCCATATCAAGCATATCATACATGGCACATATAAACGATTAACTTATCACATACAATACATATATTTCATAACATATCCGACCTTCTGGTCACACAATAAAAACCCTTCCGGGTACAGTATAGTGAGAAAACTCACCTCATGGAAAGTCTAAGATCTCGCGTACTCGCTATCTCCAAATCCCAACGACGACCCTACCTCGCCTAATCATAAAAATATCATTTAATAATCAAAGACTTCCACAACTAAAACTTTACCCCTTATCATCATTCCTCAGAGGGTAAAAGACCATTTTACCCTTCCTTGACCCAAAGTCCTCATGTTGACCAAAACCCTAAAAGTCAACAAAAGTCAACCTTGTGAGTACGTGTGGCGTACTGCTAGATGTACGCGGGGCGTACATCGCCAACCCATGGATTGGGGTCTCCACCTAGTACGCTGCGTGTACTGGAAGTGACGCCCAGCATAACCATCAGATTCAAACACACTTCATTTCTGGTCTTAATCGGTTAAGCCATTACTCCAACTTCTAGATCCGACTCTGTTAATGTGTCTAAACCCATAAAGTCAAGACCTTTAAGCCTTGGCATGGATGTAAAGGCTCCAACACTTCTTAACATCATTCTCTTCTAACTCAAGGACCTAGATCTCATGCATGGTGCAATAGTCACGTCCAAGATGTCATTTTTATGAGTCTACAACTCCAATAGATCAAAAATATTGAGGATCTAAGCTTATGGAGGCCATTTGCACAAAAAGTCTCCACCGTTGGGACTAAAACCCTAGAAACTGGTACTTGAAGCATATAACATGAACCAAGTGACAAGATACGAACTTTTTACCTGTAATGAAGCTTTAACCTTTGCAAAGCTCAGATCTACACTTGAACACCACTTCTAGTCTTTCCAATGAGCTCTTCTTCTCCTTTGCAACCTTGGAATGGCACCACCAAGCTTAGAATACACACAAATGGCTAAGGAATGGATGCACACTCTTTTTAGGGTTTCTCTCTGAGGGATGGTGGCTGAGAAGTCCAGCCACACATTCCTTTTATAGCCCTCCAAAGGAATTAGGGTTTTTAGATCTGGACAAGTTACGCCAAGCGTAACCTTGGGTATGCCCAGTGTACCTGAGGGTGAACGCATCCAAAAGAGGTGCACGAGTACGCGCAGCGTACACCTTGTACGCCCAACGTACTCGCTTATCATGAAAACCCTAAAATGACAACATAACCAAGATGCAGGGCCAAATAGAAGAATACCTGGATTTCGGGCTGTTATAGAACTTATCCAAGTAAGGTTTACACACCCGATTCATAAGGTCCATGAATACGGCAGGTGCGTTGGTCAGTCCAAATGGCATCACTAGAAACTCGTAGTGACCGTATCTACTTCGGAATGCCATCTTTGGAATATCTGCATCTTGAACTCTAAGTTGATGATAGCCGGATCATAGGTCGATCTTTGAGTAGTAACAAGATCCTTGTAGTTGGTCGAATAGATCATCGATCCTCGGGAGTGGATACCGGTTTTTGATAGTGAGCTTGTTTAACTCTCGATAGTCAATGCACATCCTAAACGAACCATCCTTCTTTTTAACAAATAATACCGGGCTCCCCATGGAGAGAAGCTTGGCCGGATAAAGCCTTTGTCGAGAAGTTCTTGAAGTTAACTGGATAGTTCTTGCATTTCCGATGGAGCTAGGCGATAAGGAGACCGTGCCACTGGTGCTGCACCCGGGATAAGGTCGATTCGAAATTCAACCTATCTGATAGGAGGTACTCCAGGTAGGTCTTCTGGAAATACGTCCGAGTAGTCGCACACTTGTGGTATGTCTTTGATTTCCTTACCCTTGCCTTGTGTATCCACCACGTGGGCCAAGAAAGCGTAGCATCTCTTCTGCAAATACTTCCTTGCCTTCATGCAAGTAATGATTCGTAGGTTCTTCCCTGCCTTGTCTCCATAAATCACAAGGGCTTCATCCTTTGGTAAGGGTAATCGCACAACCTTTTCGTAGCATAAAATCTCCGCTCGATGGGTTGATAACCAATCCATTCCAATGATTACATCAAAACTTCCAATAGTCATGGGCATTAGGTCGACATGGAACACGTGATTATTCAGGGTGAGAAGGAAGTTGGTGAGTATCTCTAAGGTGCTTTCTATTTGACTATTAGCTACTTCTACCGTGTAAGGATTATTGAGTTTGCATGATTCATGATTTATCATTTTTCTAAACTTGTGGGAAATAAAACTTTTATCGACACCAGTATCAAATAATACAGAGGCATAAATATATTCGATAGGAAACGTACCAGTAACCACAGTTGGTTCCTGGCGTGCATCTCCCGCACCTATCACAAACACCCTTCCTTGACCACCCTGTCTCTTTAGCTTAGGACAGTCATTCCTGAAATGTCCCGGTTGGTTGCACTCGAAGCAGGTTCGATTTTATCTTGCCGTAGTAGTTGAGGCTGTGTTGTTTGGGTTCCTTTTGTAAAATCTGGCAGTATGACCCCTTAATGTGTAGTTGTTACAGATCATGCAGTCTCCAATATGATGGTAATTGCACTTAGGGCAGCGAGGTAGAGCTCCAGCGTAGGGCTTTACTGGAGTGGGAGTGGTTGTGATTGCAACATACACTGTTACAGGTTCTGGGTTTCGCTTACGGTGCTTGAAGTTCCCTTTCAGCTTCCCCTAGAACTTTCTCTTACAATTCCCAGTTTGGTTATTTTCTTTCGCGGGCCATGGTGCCTTGTTGGATACATTGTTCAGTCAACTCATAAGCCAGTTGCCTGGCGTTGTCAAAAGTGGAGGGTGTGGATGCAGTAACCAGACCTTGGACTAGAGATGCTAATCCCCAGATGTATCTCTCCGTCCTTTTGTCTTCTGAAGGCACCATTCCAGGACAAAGGGTTGCAAGATCTTCGAATCGGGAGGTATACATAGCTACCTCTGATCCTTGCATGGTTAGATTCCAGAGTTCTTGTTCTAGTGCCTGAATCTCCTGCCATGGGCAATACACGTTTTTCATCATTAGTTTCAGCTGTTCCCATCCCATAACATAGGCTTCCACAATTCCAATGGTCTTGGCATGGTTGTTCCACCAAGTTAAGGCAGCATCCATCAGTGTGCAGGTAGCGTATTTAACCCTGCAGTCATCCGGGCAAGAGCTGATGTGGAAGACAACTTCAATCTTTTCTATCCATCGGGATAGACCAACAGCTCCTTCAGTTCCGTAGAAGGATCGGGGTTTACAACCCATGAATTCTTTGTATGAGCAGTGTTTGGGATTTCTTTGGGCAACTACAGGAGTACCACTTCCGCTATTTCCGGTATTCCCGTTTCGAGCAACCTCATAAGTCACCACGGCCGTAGCAATCCCTTGTGCAAGCATGTTTTGCATCATAGTGGGATCCATTTGGAAATTTTGGTGGTTATTTGTAGCACTTGGGGCTTCTTTAGGGTCTGGAGTTTCTTCTGTTGTTTGAGTTATCTCTGGAGCACTTCTCCTGTTATTTCAGGGAGTCGGTGGCGGACGAACTCGTGGTTCTTTTCGTCGAGGCATTATCCTAATACGTTATATAAGTAAGTTAATTTGTTTTTAAACCATATAGTTATAATATGTGTGTATTTTGTATTTGTTCAATTTGTTTTTCTTCCGAAATCATACAGATTTTAAACCAGAAAATGAAAGCTTTTCCTGATATAGAGTTTTGCAAGCAACACATAATAAATACAAACATTTAACAAAATACTGAGAGATTTTCATCATAACTGCTTGTTTTGGTTACAAAGTTTTAACCATATAAGGTTAGAAATAGAAAAGCTTTTCAAAAGAGCTATTACAAACTAGGCATTGATAAACACTTGCAATACAAAAGCTATTCCTCAAAAGTCCTAACCTTATCCTAGGACACAAGCTTTCCTAGATATCTACCTCCCAAATCGAGTCATCACATAGAGGACAAAGTCCTCGAACTGGTCCAAGATGTAGCGTCGTTCCTGCGTAGAGATAACCAACTGATTTCGCTGCGTAACAAGCTCGCTCTCCATGATCTGGATCCGGTAGTTCTATGCTCTAACCTGAGCACTCAAGACATTCACTGCATCGTGATCAGCACCCGAGAGATGATATAATATCTGGATCGCATCATAATTCTCCTTCTCCTCTTCCATGAGTGTCTCAACTCGATGGTCGAGGGAAGTAAAGCCTGGACCTCTCATAAACTGCTCCAAGGATCTGATCCTATCCTCGGTCTGATCAGTCTGAGTCATCAAGCGAGGTATCGGATCATCCTCAGGATTAAACCTAAGTGGTGCTCGTGAAGATTCACCAACCTCAAACAGTGGTGGTAGATCAGTAGCATCCCTACTGCTAAGGAGGTCTGTGAGACTGTGACCCAAGATGGCTCACTAGGTCGAGTACGTTTCCCTAATAGACCACTAGTGGGTCGGGAAACCTGAGCAGCTGGGTCCAAGTGGTAAATAGGAGATATAGTAGTTCTTGGGGTCCTTAGGAGATATAGTAGTTCTTGGGGTCCTCATCATACAAGGGCCCTTGCCGTGCAGAAGGTATGGCTGGTAGTAGGATCTCGATGGTGAGTCTGGTGGGGTAAGGGGAGTAGGTTCCTCTTCGGAGAGGTCTCCCTCATCCTGTGCAGGACCATCATCATCAGTCTCTTAGGTATCCTGCAATATGCCCTCATCCTCGAGCTCCTCCTCTTCGGGATCCTCCTCAGGATCCTCTTCGGGATCCTCCTCCTCAAGAGCGTCCTGGGGAAAGTACGGATCCGCAGCTAAGTGTAGTGGATGTGGATGCAAAGGAACTCTAAATGGCTCAGCAGGATCCTCAAGTCGAAACCAGTCATCAGGGTTATCCGGTAGTCCAGCCATCTACATAAAAGGGTTTCAAGCGGGTTAGTAAATTCGTATAAGTTTTTCATAAGTGTTTTAAGGTTGATAAAAGGATTCTAAGGTACAAAGCTTCAGCAATGAATCTGGTGGACATTCTTCAACTTCTAAAACTCTCAATCGTTGTAGCTTGTCAAACTCCTTGCTCAAGGTTGGTTGTGCACCGGCCCGACCATAAATAACATAGGCGTGCGTTCCAGGTTTATTTGTGGTATGGCTTATGTATGGTACTAACCTTTAATTGAGGCGTTTGGCCTAAAGGGTTGAGTTGTAGTTTTAGTTGAAGGGATGTTTCGAATTTTTATTAAGTGTTCTCATTGCGGGTCAGAGTATATATATATATATATATATATATATATATATATATATATATATATATATATATATATATAAACTATTATATATTAAGGTTGGTGGGGTTTGTAGTATTATTAATCTTTGTTTTGTACTTCCCAACTACCATACCGTAAGTAGTCGAGAAGTAGTTTTATTATTGATAATACTTTTATAAGAAGCTAGTTTCTATAGTTGTATTCCTCTTTTGAGGATACGAGTTCTCTATAGCCAATTTAGCTCTGATACCAATCTGTCACACCCCCGGCCGAGGCGGCGGAACATGCCGGGCTGTGCGACTAAGTTCATGGATCACAAATAAATTGAATATACAACACAAGTACAACAATAAACAAAACAACATTTCATTACATATTTATGTTTTCATACATGGTTCTACAGATAGTAATAAAATAATAATACGAGTTTGCCTTAACAGTTAGGCATAACAGTTCAAAAGCAGAAAATTAAAGTACTTGCGAGCCATGTTTTCCATCGTCTGAGTGTGCTCGAAATTTCACTGATTTCATGAAAATACATGTATTTTGAAAGTCAACACGAGGTTGGTGAGAGTCACAGGTTTTCTGCTAGCCGCAGTAATAATACTTTCAAAAGTCCAAAAGTATATTTTTCTTGTATAACGATAGTTGAAACAATGCTTGTCATGAGTCTTTAAAAGCCAAAAAGTAATTTTATAAATAAATTTATGCTTTTAAAGAAAACGTGTTTGTAATAACTTCATGAAAGTTTAAATATATCCATTGTATAAGTAACCACTATACTTAAAAACAGTTCTAAAAGCAACCAAACCTATGGTTTAGTGAAAAAGTGAGAGAGATTCGTGTTAATGTTTGTAGTGAGTTCTATAATTGAGCTATAGACTAAAAGTACCCCTCCCTACGATGCTTCATTGGACGTCGTAGTAACGATCGTAGACACATATCACCTGCTTCGATTGATCAGTCGATGGTTGTAGCTAGCAACCGCAGGTGGGGTTGTCAACCCTATATAGATCTATATATATGTACCTCGCTCCGAAGATTAACGATTATAGCAGTATGGGGCAGGCTAAGTGATTAAACTCAGCTAATGAATAGTAGTGTCTCACTCAAAAACCATTAACGAAACGTTTGTGAATAACTCTCAATCCTAACTTAATTATAGATAAGTACCGGGCATAATGAATTTCGTATTATAGTATTTGTAAAAGTCGAGTATGGTTGACGTATTGATAAAAGTATAAATTACTCTCTTTTATAGAGTTATGTATTTTAACATAATGGTATTGTACAAGTGTGTAATGCCTAGTATTCAGATATGGAAGTCTTTATAACTTTTAAAATTGTAGCATGTATATCATATAAGGCATATGTATTTGCATAATAAATACTATTTAGCACATATATTCTCCCCCAAGAATAAATAAAATATTGAAAAGGGGTCGTAACTCTCACCTTATCGAGTGGTTAACGAGTAGTTCTGAAAGTCGAGATGTGTTGCCGAGAGGTCGTGATTTCCGGGATAAATCCAATTTCCTAGAAATATTTGTTATAAATCAATATTTGGTATTTGAGCTAGTATAATGATTTATAATTTTTCTAAATGTTTATTATCTCAAAATTTATTTAAATAATCCATTTAAATAAATTTTTCTAAAAAATTAGTTTATTATTTTCCCAAAATATTTAAATCCCAAAAATTTATTTAAATCAAAATACAATTTTTATAATTTAAGATTTAACAACAATCAAATATAAAATGTATATATATGTGAAAAAAATGAATTTATGAAATTTCTATTTTAATATTTTGAACTTCTATTGAAAGGATTTTTCGAAATTGGGTAGATTGTGAATATTTCAAATGTATGTTTAGGACTTAGGACCTAGTTTAAAAACAATTTTTGGGTGTAAGGGGTTGAATCTGGACAATATTATACCTGGGGGACTGCATGTGGCAAAACCGCATGCATGTTTGTGTATCTGATTCATAAACAGGAGGGAAACCTCCTGTTCGTCTTCTTCGTTTTCGTGATACACCGAAGGCACACCAAGAATATATACAGTGGTCCTTGATTTGTTTAACTTAATGAGAACAAAAGAGAAATAAAAGGGAGGGTGGCGTTGACTCATAGAGGTGGAGCAGCAGTAAAAACCGGCGGTGCTGGTGGTGGCTGTGAGCTGGGACGAGGGGTTGACGGAGGTGGTAGTTCGGTGCTGCTGCCTTCGTTCTTCTTCGTTTTACCAGTATTTCGATGCAGGAATTATGGAGAAGCTTTAGGGGATCGAAATTAATAGCAATGAAAGCTTAGGGATGAAGTTCTTGGGTGGTGGAGGTGGGTGTTTGAAGGTTGCAATGGGTAGTGGGTGATTGCCGGCAGGAGGGTGTTTCGGTGGTGGCAGGAGGCTACTCCGGTCGCCTTCTGATGCTTCTTTCTTGCTTATTTCAATAGGGAAGACCAAAAAGGAGGAGGGAGGGGGCTGTGGTGATTGAAAACAACAACAGGAATGGGTTGGGGAGTTAATCCATGGTGGTGATGTTTTAACTGTGAGAGAGGGAATTGAGAGAGAAGAAGAAGCTGATGAATTTGAGTGAGTTTATGAGAAGTAGTGGCCTCTATCTATAGTATAAGTCCATAGACACATGCTTATCTATGGCCACACTTCCAATCCCATGTTTGTACCTTTGGTGAACCTTGCACACAAAGGAGGAGAGTGTAGGAAGGAAAGGCACGTGGGTTTGATACCAGCTAGAAGAAGATAAGGTTTTTGGAGCTTATCATCCCATGTGGGCCCCACATGGGGTTATGCTCCATTACATGCCCAAAAAACACCAAAACCGGGTGCCTCGGGATTCGTGCATTGGGGATATTTTCTTTAAAAACACCGTTAAATAGAGTATAATTCAAGGATTCCAGAACCTCAAACGGATTAATTTTTGGAGTTACGGATCTCCGGGAATTTACGTTTGAAGTTTTTCGTCTTAACGGCTCGCAGTGTCCGTTTTCGCGACTTTTGTAAATATTTTCGTAAAAATTATTTCAAGTGTGAATTTAAATAATATACTATATCCTGATTCCAAAAACGCTCTCGGAAATCTCGTCGCAAAGCGTAAGTGCCTCAACGGATCGTTTTGGTTTACGCGATTAAAGAAAACAGTGTTTTACCGTCCGTTTTTCTTATAACGGCTGTATCCTATGCACACGGACTCTGTTTTTGACCTTCTCAGCAAGGAATTTTTCAAACGCTTGGTTTTTTAATTCTAGACCATTGTCACTGCGAACATTGCGAACCAGATTTCGTAGTTGAAGCTCAATTTTCTCGATGAAGTCCTTGAGTTTTAGTGCTCCTTCAGATTTATGTTTAAGAAAATACACCCAAGTAAAATGTGAAAAATCATCGACTATCACAAGAGTATACTTACTACCACCAATGCTTTCAATTGCAGAGGTTGTGACAACCCGAAATTTATTCCGTCATTTTTAACCCTTTCTTCCGTTAATAAGCCTCGTATATTTAACTGTTCGTTAACTTTAGGACTGGTTAGTTAATTTGGGACTTTTTGAATGACTTCATGAAGGTTGAAATAAATTAGAAATACCCACAAAATGCCCTTAAAAATGTTTAGTTTCAACCAAGTCAAAATACGACCGTTTAATCGGGTTTGACCAAAAAGCCCCGTTTAACAGCAATATCGGGTAGATTCCCACTGAGCCCCAACTCAAACCCCTATATAAGGGTGAGTGGAGTCCATTAGAGACTTTTTCACTCTTTCTCCACACACTCTCTCTCTACAACTTATTTTCGAGCCAAAAACATCCGTTTCGAGCCCCAAACGAATAAGCAATCCACCTTAACTTGTTGTATAGCTTAACTAACATACAAATTCGTGTTTAAGACATCAAATAGGGGCAAGATTATGTGTTTACGGCCCAAGAACACTCTTGAACCGTGAACACTCCTAAATGGGGTTTTTAAGCCCCAAACCCCCTCCAAATTGCCCCTAAGGCTTAGATATGACTTGTGGACTTACACCTTCGAGCTTAGAACACCAAAACCTTATGATATGGAGAGTAAACATGAGTTTACAGCCCAATAACACTCTTGGACCGTAAACCCCTCTTCATAGGCCGTGAAAACCTTTTAAGGTGTTAGAAATGCCCACAAACACCTCCTATGGCCTTGGAAAATGTTTAGAAGCAACTCCCATTGAAGTAAAGGCTTTAAACATTTAAGAAACCATGGAATTAGGATTTTACGACTATAAGCCCCCCTAGAAAAGGTCCATGGGTCGTAAACTCCCAAAAGGTGGGCAAATGATGCCTTAACACCCCCATTTGGCTTGGAATAATGCTTAGAACTTTATACTCTATCATTTAAGGCTTAGATCTATGAAAGAAATGACCAAGTGAGAGTTTACAGCCGTAAACTCCTTGTTCATGGCCGTGAACTGCTTAAATGGTCCCTTAAGAGCCTTAAACCCCTTCATATGCATTGTATTAGGACCTAGCAAAATTCCACAAGTGATATAAGACATTTTGGCATCCTAGAACACCCTCACCATGAGTTTACGACCATAAACTCATGGGGAGTTAGTCCCAGGGCCATGAACTCTATAAAGAGTTTACTCTTGAAGAGTAAACTCCCTATTTAAGCCATACACACCCTTAGATGTTACCCGGGACACTCCAAGCTGTTAACCAAAGTGTTTTCCGCACTTTAGGATGCATATACATGTTTAATTAGTATTATATTTACTAATTGTATGTAAACATATGTCATCTTATGTTAATAGGTCACTAAGTGTGTTCAAGTCTTTACTTGACACTGAGCACCCAATCGACACCTTCGTCGGATCCACTTACAACAGGTGAGTTCATACCCCTGAATTAACCTTTTTAAATGTTTTTACATGCTTTTAGGGGGGAATACAAGTTAAACATGACAATTATCATATCAATCACATGTGATTGATAACCCGCATGCACAAGGATTCATTACACTTTCAACTGTTTTACCAAGTATGATACTGTAAATGGTTTTCTAAAACATCTTTATGTATTCAAAGCTTTTCTCAAATTGCCTCTCGTGCTGTATGTTTTATTTCAAACTCTGTTACAACAACATTTTAAACAAAGGTTTTCTTTACTTTATCAAGGTTACAATCAAAACCTGTTTATGAATGATTTTCTTAAAGTATAAAGGTTTTCCAAAGATTTCATCAAAGTTTTCTTCCATGTTTTTATACTCCTACTTTGTTAGATACTACTATGTTGTTATACTTCTACTTAGTTAAATGCTACTACTTTGTTAACACTTTTACTTTGCGATACGCTTTTACTTCACAATACACTTCTACTTCATGATACACTTATACTTCATGATACGCTTTTACTTCACAATACACTTCTACTTCACGAGACGCTTTTACTTCACAATACATTTTTACTTCACAATACACTTCTGCTTCACGATACGCTTTTACTTCACAATACACTTCTACTTCACGATACACTTTTACTTCACAATACGCTTCTACTTCATGATACGCTTCTACTTCACGATACGCTTATACTTCACGATACGCTTACACTTCACGATACGCTTACACTTCACGATACGCTTACACTTCACGATACGCTTACACTTCACGATACGCTTACACTTCACGATACGCTTACACTTCACGATACGCTTACACTTCACGATACGCTTACACTTCACGATACGCTTATACTTCACGATACACTTATACTTCACGATATGCTTATACTTCACGATACGCTTATACTTCACGATACGCTTATACTTCACGATACTCTTATACTTCACGATACGCTTCTACTTCACGATTCTCCCTTACTTGTTAACACTTATACTTTTTGAAACACTTCTACTTCATTAAACACTTAAACTTTGTTAAAAGCTTCTACTTAGTTAAATGTATGCATGTGCTTGTATAAGTTATATAAATAATGTTTAAAGGACTTAGGAAGGCTAGTTCGCCCTATATCCTTTTCTTCGTTGAGATGTGGTCTGGTGGGATCGGATATCCGTCTGAAGGTCGTTTGATTGTTAGTTATACATTAGGTGTACAAGCATGGACATATTGGTTTACATCGGTCAGTTCAGTTGTGAGTCTCTATCACTTGTCCAGTATTTTACACTAGGTCTCACTATTCGAGATGCATCTTCAGGACACGGCCTTCTCCGTCGTCTAGTGGGTAACCAGAGTCTCTTGTAGGGAGAGCGGGCATTATGTGTATAGATCTATACGAGATTGACACCCCCGCACCCTGACTGCTAGCTATAGTCCACGGCCTACCAAGCCCAACGGGTGACAAATGTCACATTATTTCCGACGCTTGCAGGGGGTCAAGTTATCTAGTGTCTATCAGTATGGTTACGAGTATCTCAGGGTTACCTTATAATTCATGGCCTTAAGGTAATGGAAATTAACACTATATTCATTGTTTTTAGACCTTGCTACACTTATCATTCATTTGATATTGTCTGGGGTCTGTATTCACTGTTTTAGACCTTGTTAGACGTAATCTTTCATTTGATACTGTCTGGGGTCTGTGTCTCCTCTCGTTAGACTGAGTCAGGCGCGTCGTTCATTCAATACTCTCCCGGAGTCTATGATTTCTTTTGCCTTAGTCAGCAATCTTCACTGCTGAGGCATATGTTGTTTTCCCTGATATTCTCCTACTTTCTTTACAATCAATACCCTATTTTGATATTGATAGTGTTAAGGGAAAAAAAATCACTTTTTACAACATTACTCCGTCCATTCTTGGTAGAAGACTGCTTTTAAATTAGAAAATATAGGATTTTCTGGAAAGGACTCTAATTCACTATGTACTCTAAAACTACAACTTGTATAAAGTTATTTGAATTAAAATGACACTAAATACTTATGAACTCACTAGCATTTGTAAAAATGTTGATACT